TCTCATATCCTTAGCAAGCAACTGGGTCCGTTCTACTGGGTATAAAATGGAAACCTTCTGTTACATAATTTCTAAACCCTATCCATCTTTAAGAGCTTATGACTCAGAGTTTAGGTCACCTTCACCAATGTTGATAAAGCTTTTAAAATTTCATTAGGACTGATTTCAGGTTCCCAGGGTTATTCAACATCCAAAAGAGTTCAAGAATTAAGTTGCACAGACACTAAAATACAGTGAAAATTAATGTGTGAGTATATTAAACATACCTGTTCTAAGATACAGTACTTTCCTTTCTGTCAAAAACTTCATATGGAGGGATAGGTTAACTTCAATTCTGGTCAGGAAAGATGAAAGTGGGTTTGGGGTGAGGTCCTTGGGAATGTTTTAAGGAAATCATGATGTGAACTTTTCAACTTTCTCACAAGAACTGTAGTATATTGATGACTCAGCCTAAGCACTCCCTGAACACAGGCTCATGGAAACAATAACCACAAGTGATTCAGAGCAGGACTGAGTGACATTTTCTGGACAGTTCAGACTGAACTGAGCCTTTACTTTTTGTCTTGCAATGTTTTACCCCTTAGCTTGCTTCTCATTTCCTTCTGCCACTTCACTGTCCTGGCCTGTCCAACCAGATGCTGGACCTACACCTGAAGGCTGGGTTCACCACAGGGTACCCAGTAGTGACCCTAATCCCGTGATGAACCTGAAATCTTCACAGGGATGTAAAACACAGAAGAGTGCACGTGAGACTCACTAGAACTGGAGCTTATACAAAGTTGGGATTTTCAGGTTCTGTTTCAGAGCCACACGATCAGCTTTAGGAAGAATAACAGTGCAAGAAGCGATTTAGACCTAAATTTATTCCACGTGTCTTGCTTCTCTTCATGTCTGCTAATGTTTTTTCACTTCTAAATGCTCAATATTCATATTCAGTAATGTGTGTAGACATTACAGCTATGAAGTACAGAAAATGCACTAAAGGCATGCCATGGTCTGAATGGCTTCACTTCTCCAAAACTTGTATATTGCAAATGAATCCCTAAGGCAACAGTATTAAGAAGTGGACCTTTGGGAGGTGACTCTGATTAGTGCCTGGGGGAGATGTTCTGCATTACTGAAGATACAGCAAGGGAATGTGCCTTAACAAGACACTGGATTTGGTGACAACTTGATCTTAAAGCACCCAGTCTTGAACTGTGACCAGTATTTGTTCATAAATGTGCAATGTACTCTGATTTGGAAGCTTGTTTGAATTATGACAGGGCAGTATGTAGAACTTTAAAAATCAAATTAGTATTATATGCAAAACAAGTTTTTTCTAGAAATTCATTCACTAATATATTGAACATCTATATAAAGAGCACACTGAGATTGCTGCTAATCTCAGTGTGACAATCACTACACTAGCTCTTATGCAGATCGGCATTAGGACTACGGTAGCTATTTTGCTTCAACTGCAGAAAGGTATCTGCTTTCCTACAACTGTTTTCCCTTTTATGATTCCCTTTTACCTTAACTACCCATGTCTCTTGACTGGATTCCTACTCATTCTCAAGATACAACACAAATGCCAAAATCCCAATGAAATGTCCTGCTGCAGATCCTAGTTTTGGACCAAAAGTTTATTTATTTTCAATAGAAATGTTAGTATTTTATGGCATCTGAACAATACCTTCAGTTGTGTAGTTGTGCACATTTGTGTATCTACAAATATTTAAAGTGAAGCAGGGAAGACCTCTAATGAAACTTTGTACCCTTGTATTATGGAACACAGTGTGCTGCAATTCCAACTTCTTCAACAAAGCTTGCTGAAGTGGTTGTACCCCATACTGTCTCAGTGCAGCAGATCAAACATTAGTAGAAATGTCCAGATCTTCTTTGCAGTACATTTTGTGGAGACTATCGAGTATGGTCTTATAAATGGTAGCAGAATGAATGAATTAGTCTAAGAGCTTTTGCTACAATGATCTACAATATATTTTTTCCCCAAGGCTGATGTTTTGGCAGGATTTTACTTTAAGGATCAGGGAATATCTATAAACAGTATTTCAGCAGTATTGAAAAGGGAAGAGTTAAATCTATAATTCAAGTGGTATTTAAGTAATCATCAATCACACAGTGTTTACCTTTAAATTCAGTATAAAAAAGGCAGATACATTATTTACGTTATTCAAATCTTCATACAGGAAGAAATTAAATCTTCACTCAATGAAAACAGGGTCTGAGGATCATTTTCATGTCATCCTGCATAGAAGTTACCTCAAAAGAGAAAAAGAAACCTGTTGCATAAACAAAACAAAAAATGGTTTTATTCAGTCCTGAAGACTGCATGAGTCTAGTACTAGTCTTCCTTAACATTTATCAACTATTGGTAGTACTGATACGGAAATTAAAACCTATTCCCCACCCCCCGCTTTTTTTTTTTGTGGTACCAGGGATTGAACTCAGGACCTTGCGCTTGCCAGGCAGGTATTTATTCTACTGAGCTATCTCCCCAGGCCCTATTTTCCCTTGTGATTGCTGAGTACAAGCTGACAGTTTTTAAAAAAAATCTTAAAATGCTTGGGACTGGAAGTATTTCATATTTTAGACATTGCTTAGATTTTAAAATTGTTGTCCTAATCGGAAATGCTCCAAAATTCACCCCTTTACAGTGTTATGTTCATGCTCAAAATTCTTCTGATTTCCAATCATTTTGGGCTTACTGACAATTTTTAGATTTCTGGTCAATTGGTACTTTAAGATTAGGGATGTTCAAACCACATTAGCTTTTGCTTCATACTGCTCTTACAGTGTAAGTTTCTTTAGAAAGGAAACAGATAAATTTTTAGTGTATATACAGAAATCTCAAATTTTTGTTAAGTACCAGCTGGATACAAATTCTACCATCAATATGAGGATGTTAATTCTCAAGGCCTGTGATGAAAGCTTGTGTTTTTGGATATGACTTAGCTCTCTGCAAATCTGCATGGACACGCTAGCCATGGAAACAATTCCTGCTTCTAACTTCAGCTGAGCAGGCTCTCAATGAGGGATCTCTGCAAATCACGTAGACAGTAATTTATCTTATTTTTTCTTCCTCTTGTCACACTGACAAAACACTATCAGTTTTAGCCTGGACAGTCACAGGAATTTGGCAACTTCCCTAACTGGGATTAATGACTACTTATTCCTTCCCGGCTTTCAGTCTACAAACTGGAGAGTCAATCTTCATTCCTATGTCTATACTTCATATCCTTTCTACAGAAATCACATGGCTTTACCAAAAAAAAAAAAAAAAAAAAAAAAAAAAAAAAAAAAGCGAGAAGGCAATGTTTCCTATGTTAACACTTATACCTCATCTCAACTACTGCAATATTCTCAGCTGGGCTGCCAGGCCCCACACTCCTCTTCCTCAAGGACCTATTCCTGCCTCTGAAGGCAACGTGATTCCTTTCAAAGTTCTACCAGACTGTTCCTCACACCTTTCTTGCTCACTTATTCAAGCCCTTTACAAAAAGGCTGTATTATTCTAGGCCTTCACCTCCCTCACCTGTCTTTGCCTCACTTACACCTGGACTGTACTTCTACCTCCCTCTGCCAGGAACGCTCTTCACACCTGCATGGCTAGGCACTGCCTCTCTGCTATCCTGCCTACCACATTTAAATAGCTTAGCAGCACAGCACTTTCTTGGCAAGCACAAGATCTTGAGTTTGATTCCCAGTTCCAAAAAAAAGAAATTTAAACATGCATGTATCCATACATCTAAGAATCTTCTGTGTTGTACTGTAGTTTTCTCAATGATGTTTATTAAGATCCAATACAGAAGTTCTATAAGTGTGCACCCTAGTACTTTCTAGGAGGTTCTGATGCTGACGGTAGTGGTCCGATGGTATCTTTGGGAACCACTGGTTCAGGGTAACCTCTCCTCCTGGACTTAATTGTTCTGACCTGAGTAAGCTTTACCCCACTCACCAGCTAGTGTGCCTCTGAAAACTCAAAAAGCTGGGTACTATTTCTAGAGTTTCGGACTGAGGAGGACCGGGTTGAGACCAAGAACTGCACTCCTCACAATCACCTTTTGAGACCACTGGTCAAACACGTGATACACTTTTATTCAATATGTCCCTTTCTTCTCCATTAGAATGTGAACTTGGGCCGGAGAGACAGCTCAGTAGAATAAGCGCTTGCATGGCAAGCACAGGGTCCTGAGTTCAATCCCTGGTACCACAAGAAAAAAAAAAAAAAAAAAAAAAAAAAGAATGTGAACTCGATGAGGCAGAGATTTTTTCTTGTTTTCTGCTACTTATTGTAAAAATAATACCAGGCACATAGTAGCTGCTCAATGAATACAGGTTGAAGAAATGAAAATAGCTTACTCCAGTGTTACGTCAGACAGGTACCCTAATTTTATGGTCGGATTTTATATGAAGAATTATGAAGGATAAAGTTAGAAAACATATAGCTTAGTCCCCTCATGCAAAAAAACATTTTTAAGTATTGGGCTACAAAAGCAAGTGTGATATCCTAGTTTTTGGGAAATAATAACAATTTACATTAATTGTAGCATTAACCATAAACAGTTGTTGAATACTACCACATGCTAATCAACACGTCAAATGTATCTCATTTAATCCTCATAATAAACTATGAAGTGGTCAGTGTGTCACTTCTATTTTATAGAAAGGACTGCTATGTTATGCAGCTCACGTGTCAGTGGATTCCCCACAGTTACCAGTTTCCTTCCTCCATGTGCCTTCTTAACAGTGCGCCAACATGAAGGTTATGAAATAGGTGTTAATGGTTTTGGTGTGCAGATATGTAAAGGTCTGAAGCAAAATCTCTGGAACTGTATTTATAGGTTCCAGAAAGATCATCCCAGCTAGTATTTCAATTATGATGATGATCTACAGAGCTGTGTCAAAGCACTGTGTTTTCAGATACAAATGCTGAACCCCATACGTACTTATATATCTTGTGAAGGACTTGAGAACATTTTTCAGAAGGTATTTTTTTGGGGGGTAGACTTGTTTTTCGTGGTACTTAAGAATTGTTCATTCAATCTGAATATTAATTCTATCAAACTTTGCATATATTTATGCAAAGAACGATGAACACAAATAGTTACAAGTGATTCATTTTTTTTTTTTTTTAACAAAGCAATTAGAATAGGTATTAGTATATTTCTTCTTAAAGGGCAAGACAATCTCCCTAGCTGGCAAGCCACACAACTCTATAGTTGTGCAGAGCAACCAGACAGAACAGAAATGAATGAGTGTGGTTTTGTTCCAGTAAAACTTTATCTCATAGGTGAGCCACCCACAGGCCACAGCTCACCAAAATGTAACAGATTTCAATCCAAGTGCCACACACAAAAGAGAACACGTAAGTTTCAGATGAATTTGTCAAATTAACCTTAAAACACTGCTTCTTACTATAGAGATATTTGTATTCCTATACCTAAATATAAACACGTTTCAAAAGGACAATTCTACCATGCAAATCAAAACAGACATTTGGCTTTGTAGTACGCTGAACTAATTAAAAGAATCCTTGTATTTATTTTCTACATAGCACAAATGCAGGTGACACAGGAAGTCTATAATTACAAAACTTACAAACTTAACGGCTGAGAACCTGAAGTCCTATAATCTTCAGCATCATCCCACCTATATATATATATTCTGTGGAATCCACTCCACAGCTGATGAGGAAAACCTTAACTTAAAGCACCAAGTTCCCAGGTATTCCTACAAATGATTTTTCATTTTCTAATACATGCAGTCAAACTGCCAATGAAGCAAATGCCAACTCATCTTAAGCTTCAGTGGATAAGGGGAATCAAATAAGGAAACCAATGTCATCCTGGAGTCTAAAAGGGGCTCGACTGCTTGACCTCATTTTCATTTCCTTTCACAAAGTTTCAAATTTGTAATGTTGTTATATCTACTATGAATATATATTAAGGGTTTTTCCATAATGTCTTTTGGGTTCCTCTAACATTTCCCATGTTCGTATTAATTTCGTAAAATCTGAGGAAAACAAAAACATGATCTCTAGGAACATTCTGGCAATCTTTATTAAAAGTTAAATTTAGAGTTGTATAGCAAAGTAATGTGGTTTGTCCAAATAGTATAGATTTTTAGAAAATCCCTTAATGTACCTGAATTAGCAAGCTTATTCTCAACATAATTTTATGTGGTGTGTTTTCACTTTAAAGTAGGGTTCAAATGACATTTTATAAGATCTCGCTAACATCAGCCCTGTAGACTCAGAGATCATGGGATCCAGTAAAGCACAATGGAAACTGGCTGAGGCTGCTGCTGAGTGCTTCAGCAGGAGCCAGATAGACACAGATTTCATTGTCACATTCAATGGAACTAAAGTCCCCCTTAAAAAACTGTGCTTCTGATAGAGTAATGAACGTTAGCTCCTTATGCCAAAAATACACGAATCTCTTGTACAAAGGCTTCATTCTCTGCCTGTCGTCAGCAGCTTGAGGGCCTTCTCTAGATTCTGTACCGCTGTGCTTACATCTTCATACTGCAAAGCACTGCCCGCATATTTGCAGTACTTTTGAGCTCTAGCAAAGTCCTCTGGGGTTAGACGGACATCCCCTAAAAGAAAAAGATTCAGATATTTATTAGATTATAAAAGTTGTTTTAAGGTTATATATGTGGCTACCTTTGAAATCAAAGAAATTATTTAATGTTATGTAAAAATAAAGCTTTTTCAATCTCATTCGTGTTGATGAATTTTCTCCATTCTTTACAGTATTTAATTATGAATATAAACCAGTTATGGCAATATAAAAATAACTTATACAAGATTTTCCTACAAGCAATAACTTAGATGTCACTATAGTTTTGCAAATTAACTGCATACAATTAGTCTGTTCTAAAAAGAAAGTAGCTCTGAAGTCTAAAGACACTGAGCTGCTCTTTTCACGGAACAATACACACAGACTAAACCATTCAACCCTCATGTGTGCCAGAACACACAGTAAACACAACCTCAATAAGAAAGGTGAGTACCATACTTCAAGTAGAAAATACAGCATTTAGTATTTTTAAAATGAAAATACTTTATATTTTGTGCAATCCAAATAAAATTCAGTTTCCAATTTTTATCATTCACATACAAACATGAAAACATTAGTTTACAAATTATTTGTCTAAAACCTATTTACAGCAAGTTTTCTAGTTAAACACATGATAAATATATATAGAGTCCAACTAAATCATTTGGTTAAAAATATACTAAAATATATTTAATCTAATACATGAATACACTTGAATATGTATTTCTAAGGACAAGCTCAAAAACCTGACATTGTATGTTTACTGAAACACCCTGTTCTGTGGAAACTTTTATGGGAACTAGGAATATCTGCTGATTAGAAGGCTCAAGGCACAGAGCATAACAAGCTGAAGGCATATTTCAATTCTGTTTATAAGGCTGAGCTGAGAATGACTTTTTAAAGTTTTGCCATCAGTAGATGTAGTATAAAGTGAATGACATTAAATAAATGGTTGCAATTCTAGGAAAGCTGATACTAAATTCTAATTTACTATTTTCTCAAAATTTCAGAGTACTGATACAATATGTGTAATTTAAAGCTTTTATCTCACAACAGGGCCAGGCACCTGTTGTGGCTGAGCTCAGTAACTTTACATGAAAATGCTGTCCATGCTTTAAATGATTCCTACATTTTAAAAGAGTCCGGGTGTGGGGGCGCATGCCTATAATCCCAGTGCTGGGGAGGCTGAAAACAGGAGGATCACTATGAGTCTGAGCTATATAGTGAGACCGTGTACCAAATATACATTTAAAAAAATAATAATAAAAATAAAATATATCCAGAATTAATTAAATTTCAGCTTTTAAGAAAATACACTGACAAATTTACTCACAGAAACTAGTGTAGGGTTTGACATATGGTAAAAGTCTTCAAATACTGAATTAATATTATGAAAGATTACATAAACTTAGTTTCTTACTATTATGAATCAGATTACACATTCCAAATGAAAGTATTTTAATTCTTTTGAATTTTGGTTTTGCTTTTAAATCCTAAGAATACAATCAATTAATAAATTGTAATTAAATGATAAAAACCAAAGCAGGTTCTCCACAAGTCTTGTCTTTTATTTTGACAAATTGTTACCCATTAAATTTAAAAAATAACTATGTTTCAGTTTTGTTTACAATTTAGACAAGCTCACTTCAATTTTGTATTTTTTTTTTTCTTGAACTAATAGCCACCAATTTCAGAAATAAAAAGGCTCTAGTCACCTGGATATGCACCATCTAGGTAAGTAAGTCACTTGGGAAAATTTAGAATCAACACTGTTGATTCCATGCTAATATTCTACGCTTTTAGGGAACTCTTTTAAATACATGAAGGCATCCATCCAAAATTTACTATACTTGTTGGAAGAAAACACTAATATTCACACTACTCTTCTTTTTACAGCATTAGGGTAAAAAGTGCTTTAGCACTGTTTTGCTGACAACTATTTATTAATAAGTTAAAATGTTATAATGAAAAGTGTTACTTTTTATAACTAATAAAATGATTTTAAAATGTATATTAATTTAATAAAACAGTATTTAGAAAATGTGAAATATTTTAACTGAAAAATATTAATACATCAAGCTTATAAACATATATAACAACTTACGTAACTTGTACATAAAAGCCAGTACCTGCATATAATCACGCAGTTGTGGAGTTAGATACAAACTTTAATTTTACAGACATATAGAGATATTAAACTTCTTTTCAATACTCCCTAAAACTTAAAGTCAAGCTGGGTGTGGTAGCTCATGCCTATAATCCCAGCACTTGGGTGGCTGAGGAAGGAGTCTAGCATGAGCTACAATGTAAGCTCAAGGCCAGCCTAAACTGCACAGAGACCCCATCTCAAAAAGACAAAAAAAGAAACAAAAACAAAAAAACACCAAAAAGTCATGTCATGTGGTTATTTGTAACACACCAGGCTTTCCTTCATTTAACAAATATAAACAACAAATCATTAATATGGGAATGGATTAAAATTTTAAACTCAAGAAAAAAATCTGACACCTAATTCTGATCCCTTTAAAGTAGCACTTAAAAACTTAGGAAGACACAGTTCAGGTTAAAAAAAAAAAAAACAACGGTTCAAATTCATTTTAAGAGATTTTATATTCAAAATAACAAATATCCTCTGTACAGCAAAATAAAAGCTGCTTTCTTCCTATCACTAACGTTTACTGAAAGTCACAATCAATGTAAGCAAGAACGCACAGTGCAGTGTGGACCTAAATGGTGTTTACATAGATCTGTCTAATACAGCACCTCTGCTCTAAACTTGTGCATCTATGCTGTATGTAAACCATGAACAGACCATCCTTACATATGAGTATCCTCCTTGAACAGGGCAGGACAAGAATAAGCGGAAGACAGGTAGCAGTCAAAGACTGTTGCAGTGGCAAAAGGAGGCTGGTTTAGCACAGAATCAGAGATGTCATTTTTTTGGTGTAAAGAGAGATGAAGGTATTACTCAACTTAAATGAGCGACCATTTCCAAGGCTGATTTATCTAATGCCACCAGAGAGGAATCTAAAGTGGGCTTTTTGAGACCCTTCCAACTTCCATCGGCATCTGCAGTAATTCACATGGCACAGGTTGTGGACACTCTCATTCTAATAACTTTATTCCTCAGACTGAATGCACAGGATACGGGAGGAACCAAAAGAGAAAGGCCTGACTGTAGTTAATCTTAAAGGAAATATAAAGGACAGCGTTGAGCCTTAGGCCTTCCCTAGTGCTGTGGTTTGTGATCGGATGTTCCCCCAAGGCCTCATACAGTCATGGGGCGGGCTTACTAGAATGTAGGTGGGTCGCCTACCTGCATACAATGTAAGGGAGGGAAAGAGGCTTGCTCTCTGCTGCTGCTTCTCCCTTTTTCTCTTGCTGCTTTTGCTGTTTTCCATCACCATGAACTGTGGCTTGCCACTCTGCCTTGGGGCCAGCTGACTACAGACTGAAAGCTCCCTAAACTGTGAACTAAATAAAGCTTTCCTTCCTTAATTCTGGGTGTCAGGTATTTTGTGTCAGCAAAGAGAGATAAGAAACCAAGACACCTAAGTATATCACTTAATATCAAGAAGAGTAGATGAATAAAATAAAATTTCATTACGTCTGCTAAATACTTTTTGGATACTTGTGATTCAAAAAATGGGCTGAGTCATTACACTCAAATACTATAGATAAGTGAAAAAGTAAAAAAAGTAAAGATTGTTTCAAATATTTACCTTTCCACCATTCTGCTATAATTAGCCAAAAATTTATTACAAAATAATAAAAAAAACTGTCAAAGAGTCTTCTACTATGTTCATATCATTTTGACTTCCTACCATTAACAAATGAAAGGTCCTGTGGTTCCAAGCCGTCAGCAGCAGCTGGTGGTGTTCATGGTCCAGATCCTTATGAGTCTAATGGGTATGTGGTAGATTCTCAGTTTTTAAATTTACATTTGCCTGATGACATATGGAAGTGGAGCACCTTTTCACGTGTATACTTGCTATCATCTTCTTTGTGCCTAAGATCTTTGGGCCATTTACAAACAGGACTGTGTTCTTAGTACTGGCTATAGTTCCAGTATATTTCAGAGACTGCTCCTTTACCGGATGAGTCTTTTCACATTTTCTCCTCATCTACGTTCTTTTTACAGTGACTTTGCTGGGCAGAAAATTTTAATCAACTGATAAGCTTATATCTCTGTCTTCCAGTTCCATTCATTTTAAAGCAAATGACTGAATTTCATTCTTGCTTACTCATCTGATGATAAATACCTAGGTTGATTCTACCTTAGCCCTTGTAAGTAGCACCACAACAAATCTTATTTGAAATTAAAAGCACAACAAACATCATTGTATTTGTGTTTACATAACCAGTACTGTATCATTTATACTGGCAACTCACAAAATGAAATATTCAGGTATAAATTCAGTAAAATATGCACAGGATCTATACAAAGGAAACAACAAAACTCTGTTGAAAGCAACCAAAGAAAAAGTAAATGGCATAATATTCCATGTTTTTTAATGGATTGTCAGTTCTTTCTAACACGATCTACCGATTCCAACGAAAATCCCAGTATGTGCTCATCAACAAAACAACTATCAAGTCTGTATGGGGTGGCAAAAGATCCAAGGTAGTCAATACATTTAAGGAGAAGAACAAAGTTGGAACACTGATCTGCCAGACTAAAGACATCCTATAAATCTATACTAATCAAGATGATATGGTCTTAACAAAAGACAAATAGCTCATTGGAACAGAATAGGAAATGCAGAGACTACAGGTCTTAAAGAAGAAAATGGTGCAGCAAGTTATACTAACTGAACAACAGTACAGTTGAAAAAGATCATTAACACAACACATAGTAATCCTGAAACAAACTAATCTAGCATTAAGCATCCAAGGTAGATGTTTGTGCCACTGTTACCAAGTAGTACACAAAGAGAATGATAATAGAAGGGAATCTCTGGATGTAGGTATTTTTGAGAATAAGAAACAACCTTGGAAATCTAGTAAACACAGGCAAAGATCTCTTGTAAATCAGCTAAACATTCTGATTTAAATTAAGAACATTTGCACGTATAGTACTTACGTTAAGTTACAGAATAACATCTCAATGGAAGAGTGACAATACAGCTCAGAACAGATAGCTGACTCACCCTGGGAAACTGTACTGAACAGTGCAGGATCAATGGCTGGGATGGTCTGTGGAGAAGGCTGGATAGGATTACTCGTTACACCTGTGAACCAGAAAACCACAGATGGGTATGAAGTGTCAACCTCTTCATTATATTTCATAAAGGAATTTAAATAAGCTTATATCTCTGTCTTCCAGTTCCATTCATTTTAAAGCAGATGACTGAATTTCATTCTTGCTTACTCATCTGATGATAAATACCTAGGTTGATTCTACCTTAGCCCTTGTAAGTAGCACCACAACAATTTTATTTGAAACTAAAAGCACAACAATTTGAGGCAATTTCACTTAAACATTTTCTTGAAACCTTACTGGGTTCCAAATTATACTTGCTACACAATGGTGCAGAACACTGGGAGGAAAATAATGAGTGTTTACATGTCATGTATAATGCTTCAACTTGGTTTTGCAATTGATGCTTACCATATATCTGTGAAAGTGACACACTTCTTTCATATCTTTTAATGTCACAGCCAATTAAATACACTGGGGTGGGGCCAGTCAGATAGCTCAGTGGGCTAAAGCACCTGCTTAGGCAGAGCACAGCGGCTGGGGTTCGATCCCTGGTGTGCCATGCCAACCCCACCCCTGGGGCATGCTGAGACAGCAACTGAGACTGGGCATGGTGGGAGGCTGAAAACAGGAAAATCACTATGAGACCGATCTACATTGTGAGACCCTGCATACCCTGTAAACCCTGTCCTAAATTCATAAAAATAAATACATACATGCACACACGCACACACACACACACACACACACACACACACACACACACTGGGGGAAAAGGTGAAGCATAATAGACTTAGTTTAATATATGTGGACTATTTCATCAGTTTGCATAAAAATAAAATTTTATAGTTCATATTTTAAAGTCACCCCTGCCCCCATACTAGGGATTGAATCTAACACATCTGCACTGAGCTCTACCACACCACTTTAAAAAAATTATTACATTTTTGGTTTTTTGAGTCATGGTTTTACTATGTAGTTCAGGCTAGTCCTGAATTTTTGGTAATCCTCCTTGTGTCAGCCTGATTGCTGGGTGCTAGCACACCCAGTTTTTTACGTTTTTAGTTTAAGGTAAGTCACTAGGTTGCATAGGCTGGTTTAAAGTTGAGAACCTCCTTTCTCACCTTCCTAACGTGCTGATTTTACAGGCCTGCCCCACCATGTCTGGCTCCAGGTAGCACCTTACTAAGACAGTATTTTTGTAGACCTACTAAGCAATTCACTTTGATTTTCTGCTGGAACTTGTCAAAATTGTTATACTCAAAGAGTAGCAGTGAAATTAAAAACAGTTGATAATTCATCAAAGAAATTAACAAAAAATTTTAACATTTTTAAAGGAAAGACTAGAAATAATTAATTTAACAGGGTAGCTGAATGAAGGAAAGCCGATTATACAAATCAATGAAGTCAAATAACTTCTCAAAGTTCATTACTTCAAGTTGATAGGTTAAATCCAAATAGGTTAAATTGGAATACGCAATTTGTAGTAAGGGTTACGTGGAAAAGGAAATGGGAAGAGAGGAAAGGAAGAAGACAGAACAGTTTCCAGCAGCACATAACAGAACGATGCTTTCACAAAGATTAACGTTCTAAGATAGTTTTCCTAGCATGACATAATGACTTTGAAGGATGTCATCTGCAACTCTAAGAAAATAAGTTTAAATTTAACTTTTTTACTTCATTTAATTTGGTTTAAAGGGTAAACTTCTTTTATAGTTGTTAGAACTATTAAATGTCATTAAAATTTTACCATTTAACTAACTAAAAAACCTTGAAAAATAGAAGGCTTACAGGCGAAAAGTCAAGCAAAAATTTTAAACAGTACAAAAAAATATGTACATGAAAGCCTGCCTCTCCTGTCAACTCTAAGCCACGTTAGGAGTATTACCTAATTCAAAACCACTGTGGGTTTCCTATGTTTCCAATCCCACCCATCATACATCCATCCATCCATCCGTCCGTCCATCCATCCATCCATCCATCCATCTTCCATTCATCGATTCAACTCAGTGCTGTTCTTTGCTAAGAAGCCTGTGTTCTTCCCTAAATCAAACTCCTCTAAATAAATCCCTTTATACTGTGTGTGTTTTGCAAATGGTTATGTATTCTGCATGTATGCTATACTGGGTGTGTATTTTTCACTGAATATGGCTTAGATTAATACATTTCAATCTGTCTTGTTCTTTTTAATGGTTATGAAATGTCCCATTCTATACATATAATTTAAAAAGCAGTCTATTAATGACAAACATAGGTTGCTACAGGCACTACTGACACAGTTAATGTTTCAGTCAATATCCTTATACATACTGTGTAAAAAACATACTCATAGGAAAAATTTTATGGAAGTATTACTGCAAATTCAGGAGACATACACATCTTAAATTAACCAGCTGTTACTATTTTTTGCTTGACTTTGATAAGAGCTAACCAAACACATGTAAAGTGAAACTATAAATGTCTGAAATAATTTTCCCTACACACTTACTAAACACTTCAAAGCACAAAAATACAATTTAAAAATTAGAATATTAGGTCTGAGAGGGATCTTCAAAGACACGTCTAGTTTTTTTAAGCAGCTGTTCTATCGTGTGTGTAGATGATAGTTTATTAAGTAGATTTTTTAATTTAAAAGGCAAGTTTATAAACTTTCTCAGAGTCCAACCTATATATTAGCTTGCTAAATAATGTGTTTTATTCTAAATTAAAATCCCCAACCACTTGGTGTTTTGAAAAGGCACCATTTTTGGTCAAGGCCTGCTTTAACTCTCAGGTGCTTATTTGTACAGCTCCATGTAACTGACTAGGTAATATTAACAGGGACAAAACTGAATTTATGGGGAGACAATGTTTAGCTAGCAGTAAACTTTCACTGGAGCAATATTAAAATAAAGCAGCCTACATAGCAATAAGTACCATGTTGACAACCAACTCCAACTTGAACCGATGAGCAACTGCTCACCACGCCTCGGGTGGCATAGTCAGCAGCCTCCATCCCTTGTTTATCTGGAAGTGTGGAGGTCAGGCCCGTCCTCTGGCAGCCAGCAGGAGCTGCTCCCATGGGCTGGGAGGCGTGGTGCAAAACAAGCTTATAAATACCTGTTAAATTAGTACATGCTGTGTACTTATTTAGGAAGATGCCCACATCTAGTTATTTTTCCCTTCATTCTTGCTTTGGGTAGGTTTCATCTGACAATGTCCAAAAGGGTCATAGCTCCCAGACTGTAGTACGCTGGAAAGATGTGACTCTAAAAATACTACTAGAGAAAAACACAGTGAGTTTGGATTTTTTTTTCCTATTATTTAATATAAGAGAATTGTTAAGAAGTAACTTCTAATTTTTTAAGTAGGTACATATATAATATATTAAGTGGGATGAATACATATTCAAGAATGAAAAAGATTTTCAGTTAAGTACAAAGTTGCTGTGCTGACTAAATGATAGGACTGTAAAAAAGGAGATATGGGTGTTAGTTAGAAAACTAGAGAAAATTATGCAAAAAGTAAACAGAACCCTGAGAAAAAGAACTTAGAGGCAGAGAAAAAGGGAGAAAGACATGCTAACCTACAGGAACAGGAGCAGTAAAGGCAGGACAAGAGAAGACTGGGCTGAGTAAAATCTCATTTTAGTCGTGGGAATGGCACAGGGAGAACAAGTCAGAAAGTAAATAACAAAGCATTAAAGCCTAAGTGAATTCAGTAGAGCCAACTGCTACATATGAGGTGAGCTTCTTTTATAATTAAAAGGCTCGTATTCTAATTCTATTTCATCTAGACTATTTTTTTATATACTATAAACTGTAAGTATGTGTTTCAATAGTAAAAAAGCATACTCTGCCTGCCTCCACAAAACACTTGCCCAGGAGTTAAGGCACAGGCGGTAAATGCCGTGTGCTGAAGCAATTGCTATTCCTGCCCTTGGTGTAGACCCTTTGCTTTTTTATGGAAGAAATGAAAACTGTAAATTAGTACAAACTATTCTTCTTGGCTATCTTAAGGATTTCCTTCTGATAAAAGTGCATCCTGAACCTTTATATGTGAGAAAGTAAATCATTCTTTAAGTGAGCAAGAGGGGAAACATCTGCTATATTTATAAATTAAAAATGTTATTCTTTTTATCAGATAATTATGAATTGATTTTTGAAATATTACAAATAGAAAAGCAATCTGGGGGCTAAGAGGAGAGCCCAACATCTCAAACCAACACGAAGGGAAATAGAATTTGACAAATCAGGGATAGAAGTTCACAATACTTTAGCTTCTTGGAGGAAGAGACATGCAAAGGAGGGAGCAAAAGCAAGAAGCTAGACTTGTTCAAATTTTGGTTCTCTTCCTGGGTATCTCTGTTTAGGTAAGTGTTAATTTCTTCAGACCCTGTCAACAAGAGACAATAGGTAAGATAGGTGCTACGAGAATAATTGTACAAACAGCTAAAGTATAAAACAAGACAGGTCTCATACTATAAAGGTTTTGAAGTGTTGTCATTCCCTTCTCTAAGGAATGGGAAACCAGGAGGCAAGGAGGAGAGGGACAAACAATAACCTATGTCTGAGTTCACTGGATCAAAAGAAACAGACAACCACCTCCTAACATCTTTCTGCCATAAATATTTCAAGCATTTTGTTATTTGTTTGAACATAAAAAATTACCAATATTTTATCATTTTTGATAGCACAAAAACAGCAACTCATTAACTTAATGTAACCCTACTAAAAGTTCTTCCTCTTACCCACATGCACAGGTACACAGTGCATGTGTGTGCAAATATGTAAGTGGTGGTAGGCACAGAGTAGATACAGTACACAAACTACATATAAACCAATGTATATGTGGCAGCTGTACCTTAAAACACTATCTAAGGCCATATCTCTTAGATAATCTTTTCATAAGGTTTTTGAAAGTTTTAATTTTAAATGTCACATTTTTCTTGATTCAAGAAATGATTCTAAGTGTTTATTAACTTACCATTAAACACCTTCTTTTTGGCATAAAAATTGTGAAGAAAAAAGAAATGAAGGAAAGGAAGCTAATCTGTTGATCATAGATTTTTGTGTTAGGTTTACTGTTAAATTTTCATACTTTTTTTCCATTTAAAACTTGAAGGAACTATGAAAAGTAGGTATGTTTAATTTCATTTAGAAAAAAAGAAAAAATCTAGCTTGAGGGATGCTGAATACCACTTTAAGTTGTAGATTAGCAGAGTGTGGTTCAGTATTAGCTGGCTCCCGAATGCACTGAGCTGACCCCTCTAAGAGAACGCCTGTCTGGGGTTCTGGACCAGGGCTGACACATTGAAGCATATTCTGGAAGTACTTACATAAGGTAACTACAGTACATAGCTGGTTTTGCTCAGCTGTTCTACAAATCTGCAAGGCTTTTGAAAGATGGTAAAATAGTACACCATGAAGTTTTTACTTAAAAACACAAATCCAAATTGGTTTGACTATAAATGTCCTCACCCCAATCATAAGACATTGACAAGTCAAAGTAAATTATCCTGAACCATAGCAAGTACTGTGACGATCAATCTTATTCATAGTCTTACAAGTAAAATACTAGCATTTTCTGTAAGTAATATACAATATTAAATTTTAAAGCGTAGAGAAAAACATGATGAAAACAGAAAACTTTAAAAGTTACCTAACTCATGCAAAACGACCTAAAGGCCTGGACCTTCTTACCTTAGTACAATCCCGACTGACACAACCTCCAAGAAACTACTCACTACAGTATTACTCTTAAATGACAGTGAAGAGCCAAGAGGGAAAGAAAACAAAATGAAACACTAATACTCTTTTTAATGAACTTGAAAGTAACTGATACACTACAATATTTGTTATAGCTCAAACAACTAGAATGCAAGAAATAGTAAAACCTCATTGAAGACAAGTTTGTGAGTTTTGCAGGCCTAAGGATTCTGCTGTGATACAGGCCAGCATCAGGAGGCTCCTATGTGACAAACTGAGATTTCTCACCTGCGCTGTGCGGCACTTCTGCGGGTGTGTTTGCTGGAGCATGTGCACCTGGAGGGATCTGGATTCCAGAATAGCTACCTGATGGGATGCTGCCTGGGTCGTAAGCTGAAGAGGAGGACGGCTGAGGTGGCTGAGCAGGAAAAGAGGCTGCACCAGCATCTTCACTTTCCTCAACATCTGCTGACACAAAGTTAAAGTAGTATTTTCAAATACAAATCTATTCTTTTTGCTATATTTACATGACAAAAACTGTACAATTGCAATACGATTTAATGCATTTGATAAATAGGCTCTCTGTCTCAAAATAAATGCTTTAGATACTTGTTTTCTTTAAAATTGAATTGTGCCTCACATGGAATTATCACTTCCTTCAGGTTAACACATTCCAATTCTGTAAATTCTTTATATCTGGTATGTTTTTCTTTTAAATAAACTTTCTTGAAATGAAAAGCAAGGACATTTTTGGAAAACGTCACACTTATGCTACTCAGCATCAACTATTTTTGGCAGCTGCCTTTCACTCAGTATTTACTGTACTCGCTATTAATGATCTGTGTATTGTTCAAAGTATTCAGTTAAATAAAAACAATGGGACGAAATTTCACATTTAGCTATCTATGGAGAAGAGGTAAGGAGATACTCTGTTTTGAAATGTAGACTTTAGACACTATTTATAATACACTATACTGTTGGTTGATGTGGAAGATTACTTTAAAAGACCTAATGAAAATACCCAGGAGATTAATGAGTAATTTTAATAATAGACAAAGCAATGAATGGTAAAGAAGTTCATTTTACAAAATTAATTACAAAGCAACATGTGCCTAATAAATTAACAGTTTCAAATAAAACAAAAACTTACAAAACTAATAAATTCTCAGTTGGAAGTTCTACCACTCCTTCATATTTCATGTCCACAGACACGACAACCAGTAACTACCAAATATGCTCAAGTGAGCATGAAATGTTCACCAAAACAAGTCACATCGTGAGCCATGAAATGCATCATAGTAAACTCCTACTAGTGAAATTTTACTAAGTATGTTCTTCAACCAAACTGGAATTGAATCAGGAATCAATAATGATAATGTATCCAGAAATATTTTGATATTAAACAACTATAAATGATCGTTTTGAGGTTTTAAGATTCTGTTTTATAAAAGCATTTGTGTAAGATTGACAGTATTTTCATACTTAATACTTAATCCGTAAGTCATGTTTGTAACAAGATTTTAAGCCTAGGAATTCAATTTCAGTGGGTGCACACTGGTCAGATCATCTCTTGAGTAATAGTAGTTCATGTCCTTCATTGACTTCTGTTTCTCTTAGGTTTTCCAGTTGACTGATTTTCTTTCTAATTGTCCTATTATCTTTGTAATGTATACATAATGTTAATTGATATCATCTTTTTTTG